GCGGTGCTGAGTCTAGAAGACACCCCGGCAATTAAATCAAGGCACCGGTAGAAGTCCTAGAGGTGCTGGAGGAATTCCAAGATGTAATGCCTCCTAAGCTGCCAGGCCACTTGCCTCCCGCACGAGAAGTGACCATCATATCGAGCTAGTACCAGGGGCACAGCCGCCTGCCAAGGCACCATATCGGATGGCGCCTCCGAGCTAGCAGAACTGAGAAAGCAGCTTGGGGAGCTTATTGACGCTGGATTTATCAGGCCATCCAAATCCCTTTCGGAGCTCCCGTATTGTTTAGAAGAAAACATGATGGTCTTTAAGGCTATGCATCGACTACCGAGCTTTGAACAAGCTCACGTCAAGAACAAGTACCCGATCCCGCTTATAGCTGACTTGTTCGATCAGCTGGGCAATGCGCGCTGGTTTTCAAAGTGGACTTACGATCGGGGTACTACCAGGTGAGGATAGCTGCGGGGGACATATCCAAGACGGCTTGCGTGACTCGCTATGGGGCATACGAGTTCTTGGTTATGCCATTGGGATTAACCAATGCACCAGCAACATTCTGTACCTCTGATGAACAAGGTATTACAACCCTTTCTTGACAAATTCGTAGTTGTATACCTTGATGATATTGTTGTCTATAGCCACTCATTACAAGACCATGTTGAACACCTACGGCTTGTTTTTGAGGCCCTTAGACAGCATAAGCTATTCGTGAAAAGGGAAAAATGTTGCTGGTTTGCATGAGGTGCCATTCTTAGGGCACATTGTGGGGGATGGCAGAATCCGGATGGACCCGTCCAAAGTAAGTGCTATCCAGGAATGGGAACCGTCTGTCAAAGTAAGGGAACTGAGATCCTTCCTTGGGTTGGCCAACTACTACCGCCGTTTGTCAAAGGATACTCAAGCATTGCGGCACCACTAACGGACATGCTGAAGAAAGGCCGGTGTGGGAATGGAATGCCGCAAGCCAACATGCCTTTGATCGGCTGAAACAGGCAATGAGTGAACAACCGGTGTTGAGATTGCCGGATCATATACTACCGTACGAGGTACAACGACGGATGCAGTGACTTTGCCATTGGCGGGGTACTAATGCAAGATGGCATCCAATCGCGTATGAAAGCCGAAAACTGAACGATACCGAGAGACGGTACACGGTTCAGGAAAAGGAGATGACGGCAGTGGTGCATTGCTTGCGATTATGGCGGCACTACTTATTGGGGCCAAATTGTAGTGCGGACTGATAATTGGCCACATCCTACTTTCAAAGCCAAAAGAAGTTAAGCCCGAAACAAGCCAGATGGCAAGACTTTTGGCAGAGTTCGATTATGAGCTGGAGTATGAGCCAGGCAAGGCTAACTCAGTGGCTGACGCCTTAAGCAGAAAGGCTACACTGGCTGCCATCAGTGAAGTGCGCACAGAGCTGCTACTCTCATTCGGATGGCAGGCAAGCGACCGACCGCGCAATCCATACTGGAGCAGCCACGGTAGGCAAGACCAGGCGGTTTTGGGTAAAAGAGGGGCTAGTATACACCAAGGGCAATAGGCTCTATGTTCCGCAGCATGGGGGCTTGCGGAAACAGCTATTGAAAGAGTGCCACGACAGCCCTTGGGCAGGGCATCGGGGATGCATCGGACGATGCATTGGTAAGCGCCAGTTATTACTGGCCTAGAATGGAAGATGACATTGAAAGCTATGTGCGGACCTGCTTGGTGTGCCAACAAGACAAGGTTGAGCAGCAGCGACCAAGGGGATTACTCAACCACTGCCAATACCAGAAAAAACAATGGACAGCGTAAGCATGGATTTCATCATGGGCTGCCCAAGGCAGATGGGTTCGGTAGCATTATGGTGGTGGTGAATAGATTTTCGAAATATGCCACCTTTATACCAGCCCCAAAAGAATGTCCTGCGGAAGAAGCAGCCAAGTTGTTCTTAAAGAACATGTCAAATACTGGGGCGTTCCGCACACATCATCAGCGATCGAGATGGCCGATTCACGGAAAATTCTGGACGGAATTATTTAAGCTGTTGGGGTCTGAATTGTGCTTTTCCACCAGCAACCACCCACAGACGGATGGACAAACCGAGCGGGAATGCATGCTGGAGCTCTACTTAAGGCACTTCGTGAGGGGCACGCAGTCCGACTGGCCAAAGTGGCTTGACATAGCACAATTCTCGCATAACCTACAGCGCAGCGAGTCCACCGGTCAAAGCCCGTTCGAAATCGTGATTGGACAACAGCCCCCACACCAAGTGCCATTGTCGTGGGCTATACAGGTCGCACCAGCGGCATACAAAACCGCTAGGGGCTGGGAAGAGCAGCGGACTTAGCTCGAACGTGTCTCCACAAAGCTGCAAAAAGGGCAAAGAAGTGGCAGATCAAACCGACTGGAAGCTCACTTCAGCGAAGGGGACATGGTGATGGTGAAGCTACACCTTATTTTGAGGAACAAAGGCTTGCACAAGGCCTGTTTAGAAGGAACGAGGCCCATATCGGTAATCAAGAGAATCGGCCAGGTGGCATACAAGTTGGACTTGCCGCTCAAGCCAAAGGTGCATCCGTATTTCATGTCAGCATGCTGAAGCCTTACCATGCAGATAAGAGACCCTAGCCGAAGGGTGAGCAATAGGCACCAGTAGGCATTCGAGCAGCGTACGACAAAGAGGTAGAAGAAGTGCTGCCGATAGAGTACTCGACGAAGCATCACTGCCCCAAATCAGTACCTGGTGAAATGGAAGGGACCACGAGTGAAGTTATTGGGAGTCTGCAGAAGATTTGTGGCAGTTCCAAGATTGGATTAACGCCTTCCACACGGCAGCGAGGACGCTGCCAGCTTAGGTGGGGGAGGGTGTCACGGGCCACAGTCCAGACCCACCAGGAGGCCAAGAAGTGACATAGTCCGGACCCGCCAGGACCAAGGGGTGCCAGCCCACTAGACCCATGTAGGGGGGCTGCTGGAAAATCAAATTTTCCCTCCCAACGAATTTCTAGAACCTTCCAAAACTTTGGAGGGAAATCTTTTGGGGGGGAATACTTTGAATTGAAAACTTTGGAGGGAAATCTTTTGGGGGGAATACTTTGAATAAAAACTTTGGAGGGAAAAGTGGGTGGGGAACCTTGGCTATAAATAGCCCCATCCACCATTTGTTAAATCATCCATTAGAATCTATTCTGCGCATCCTTTGTATTTCAATTCATTCAATATAGAGTTTAGTTTTCTCTAGCATTCTCTTCCCGTTTCCTTCCTTGTTTATGCAAGCTTGCTTGCCGGCTTAAAGCCATGTGGGAGTGTTAGTGCTTGTTGGCGAGTAAGGCTGACTTGGGTTCTACTGCCGGCTAAGGCTGAACCGAGGCCGCACGGAAGGGGTCTAAAGAATCGCCCCGTGACATGTGCCTTTGATTTGCTATTGGTTGCCAGTTTCTTGGTTAATCTTTGCTTTGTTTCAAACGTGAAATTTATGGCTTTAGGTGGAGATAGGAATCCAAGGGTTCAACATATCCGCCGGAGAAGGCCATTACAATGGGTTTGGAGAGTACAATCCATTAATTTTTAGTAAACTTGGACTCAAATATTGCGCGTTCAAACTGAAAAACCAAAAATATGCTGTCTCAAATGCTTTTGTACCTCTAATCGAGACAAATAATTTACTGAATTTTTTTTTGAAAAGAAGACAGTTATTACTTGCAGCAAAGCTTTCCAGTTGGCTTATGAGTACAACAAACACATGAACAAAAAATATTTAACCCCGGAACTCTTAAGTCCCTAGATATGGAGATGCCTAGGAACATTTACGCATCTCTGGTCTGCCACGTACAAAAACTAATTAGGCTTGTGCTGCATGTATGGCACTTTCTCACAATTAATGGTGCAGATGAAAGCAACATAGGAGAGCCCTATAAAAGCCTGTGACAGAAGAGATGATTTATACAATATATGGTCTAGAAAATGCTTCTGACAAAAATTATGGACAGGGTAACATGTTCATGTGTGCGAAGTCTATGGAATCAAACAAACTTGTGTCCACAATGGTAGAAGTCTCCCTTGCATTACGGATCCTGGATTCCATAAAGTTAATCATCCCGGGAATATCAATATCAAAAAGGTAAATCTGTGGTTCCACAGGAATGTCATAAATATTATGCACACCAGCTTCAAAGGAGACTTTAGAATGATTTCACTTTAGCAATAGAATTGTCTAAAGCACGCAGCCAACTAATTGGCATCTGATATCAGGAATTTTGGTGTTTGCATACTAATAAGTTAGTGGCAAAAGATAAAGATGATTAAAACTAAATAAAAATGATCATTTGCTTCCAACAGAAATCTAAGATTTGATGGTACCAAACAAAATTTGTCATCATAATAACAAAAACCGATATATTAGATCGTCCAGTCATCTAGTAATATGTGTCTATGTATGAGCTTATATACAGGTGATGACAGTTCTGTACAATAGTCAAATCATTCTACCTAACGGACCTGAAATAACAGGTGGCTCCAGAATGCATTCCTTTGCCAAGTCCAGCCACATATAAATAATGTGCAAAATTGGCATTTTGTGTAGACTACCATATGGGATAGAAGGTGCCTCTACCTTGCGGTGCTTGGCTTTCAGCTTTCCATCAGTACCAAAGACACAACAAGTATTGTACAACTAAACCCCACAGAGTTCAGGTATAGTGCCATCAACTATTGTGATCGTCGGGCGACTAGAAACTTCAGACAGCATAGCTGTTGAGGGAGACGCATCACCACCTGCGTCAATATCTTCAGCATAAACTGGGAAGCTGTCATTCGAATATGTGCTGTTCCATATTTCCTGACATTATATAACAAAAAAGGAAGGGCCTTAAGTTGATGCTATGATATTATATTCATTTTAAAAACTTGCTTGCCAAATGTATTAAGGCTTCTTATGGTGAAGATGAGATCACTTGATCAAGGCTGGCAAGCAGCGTTTCAAGAAAATTCCCAGTCCCAACCGTTACCTTGCCTCTTAACGGTCATCAACTGCCTTCTCGCGCCTTTTCCAATTGAGTTCTATACTGTATATAAATTTAAACAATATGCACTAATGAATCAACAATTTCTATTCACTGCTCTCTCTAACTCGGTGGTGCTACTATTCTGGAGCAACTACCAACTAATTCCAAACTTCACAAGGACAACGTTCCCAATTTCCTTCAAAGAAACGGAGATTTTACAGTAACAGATACTCAAAGGTCTTCAGGTATGGCGGATCCAGATGCCAATATTCCCAATCATGACCCTTTTTATGACCCACTAGCGGATAACACTCTAACTTTCATGAACAACATGGAGCCCCTATATAGGGATGGGGATACAACCACAACCTATTTAAACCCCGAGTGGCGTGCTATGAACAGTTTCATGGGCAACAGGAATCACCCATTTATGGATGACACTATGAACAGTTTCTTGAACAACATGAATCCCTCTCTTTCAGGGAACTCTTCTTTAAATAATTCAAAAATGTGGCGTTTACCCGTTAACTCTCAGTCGAATCCTTCAAACAACAATTTGGGAACGAGTTCTCAAATACAACCAAACTTGGAAAATGAAGATTTAAACAATCCGCATGTTCCTACTCATGTGGACTCACCTATCCAGGAACCCTCGCAACATCTCTTTATTCGTCAGTCACGTGAGAAACGTAAGCAACCTATCGATGTTAATCGTTCGAAGGAATCAGTTCAAACCTTTACTCGCAAGAAGAAACACTCTAATGCAGGGTGCTCTGGGTCGGGTGGTTCAAAGAATCCTGGGGCAATGAATGATCAAGGTGAAACAAACTTGGTAAATGAAAATGTAAACAGCCAGAGTATTCTTAGCCAACAAGACTTATTACCTGTCCAGGGGCCTGATTTACATCCCACTTCAATTCCTCCATTTACAGAGCAAGAAGCCACTGAACCTTTACAGACAGCAACCAATTGGGGGGGTACAGGCAATGAGTCCAATTTGGAAAATTCTCAGGCGGGTATGCACAATGAGTCTAATTTGGAGAATTCTCAAACGGCTTCTTTTAGTTTTCATCGAGAAACAAGCAGTCAAGTAGGGACTAGTTTGAGAACAGAAAGGCTTGATAACAATAAGGGGAAACTTTCTGGTAGGCCAAGGGGACCACCCCCGTCAGATTGCAGTGGCTGCGAAATGTTGAGAGAAATTATTCATCGTAAAGGTGAGTTTTATGTTACTTGTTGCTTGAAATGAAATATATTTTTATTTTAAATTTATGTTAGTGGAATTTTTGTACTCGTGATTGGGTTGTTCTTTGAATAAGGATATTTCGTTTCTATCATGGCAGGCCCCCTTGTTAAGAAACTACAGCTTCATGGTGAATTATTACGTGGCCGTTATTTTCATGCTGTCATTAATGTTTTAAACGAGGATACTAGTGTGGTTTCAGATGTTGAAAATATCAAGTAAGTTTAATGTTCTTTCTCTTCTCTTTCTTCTTCTTCATTAAATGTTTTCTTATTTGATTATAATTTTCATTTTCTTTCAATAGTTTCTATGACAAAGGCTATAAGGATGTAGAAAGGTTCCTTTCACAATATTTCATCAAGCAAGAGCAAGAGGGATGGAGCATGCATGATGATCCTCGTGCAGTTTTCTTTAAAGTCCTATGCTTCGGGCCTGGTAAGGGTGAAAACCTGTTTGATCGTAACCTATATAGAAAATGCGTTGTCAGTAGATCCAGATATCTTTCTATGAGTAACAGTTTGGTGGAATTTCTTTAAATTTTTGCAGACGGATGAAGCTGCAAATCCTGTCTCCCCGATAGCACGAGTATTAGCTACTGTCCTTGCTCAAGCTGCGAGAATAGAAATCCTCTGCCCCTTATTTGTGCTCCCATCGCTGCATCCTCTCTGTGTTGCTGCTACCTGTCTTATAACTTATTTAACATTGTTAACGGTGTTATCCTAAACGGCACTATATTTGTCATGCTTCTTTATCTCACTGTGCCCAAAAGCCAAAACACCGGTTGCTTGAATTATAGAAAAGATACATATTAGTTAGCCTCCTCCATATCAAATGTGCCTATTCTCTTCTAAAAATGTTCATTTCGACTATCAGGATATGGATATTATAACTGGAATTACATTGCAAGCACAGAAAGTGAATTTAAAATATTACATGAGCTAATATAAATATCAAGGTTCATAGATGCTTACCCAATAGAAATCAATTATTATATTCCTAGATGACCCAGAATCGGTAAAAGAAGGTGCCACATGACCCTGTAACCATAAAACAAATATGTAATTTTATGAATTTTAATTCTGAAGAACAATAAATTTAAAAGCCCATAACTATGGCTACTACCACTAGTAAGTACCTTCATTTTCCCTGTTTTGAAAAAATGTTACTGCAGAGAAGTTGAAACCTTCAATCTTTCCTTGGCTTCACGATTCTATCAAAACCGAAGTCTGCAAATTCTTGACTGAGACACCTGAAGAGTTGTGTTTTAAGGACTTAAGCTGGAAACGACACTATAAGCTGAAGCTTTTTTTTTTTTTTTTATAAAATAGCAGGGGCACCAATGGGGTTTTTTCTATTTCAGTTAGAGCCTTTGGGCATGATGGATTATTTGAATTTGAATATAATTGCATTATATATCCGCATACATGCATTGGAACCTTCTTTGGAACTTGAAGTTGAGATTGATGATTTAACATTATTATTATTCAAATTGCCTAGAAGGGAGGCAGCCAAGCTGTTGAATTTGTCTGAAACTATATTCCATAAGATATTTGATGAAGCAACAGGCAAAAAGGGTAGAAGATGGCCTCATAGACAAGTTTGTTTCATTGTTATGGCTTTCTTAGATCATCCTCCCCTCAAATTAATACTACATTCCTTATTTACTGCATGTTTTTCTGGTGCATATACATATGGTTGGCTGTAAATGGGTTTCTTATGATGAGAAGAGGAAGCGTTGCAAACAAATAAGGGATGTACCGGAGGTGATGGAGAGGAAGATCGAAGCAATTCTTGAAGCACTAAATGTTGTGGTAGGTAAAAGAGAATAAGAAAAGAACAAGTGTTCTGAGTGAGAATAGGCTAAGGAGAAAAGCTATAAGTCAGAATCTAGTAGTTTTGAAAAGTCTCCTTTTTGCGTTGTGAAGGTTCTATATATATAGTGTCAAAAATAATAGTTACAAGAAAAGATTTTAATACACGTAATGAATGATATCATTAAGGAGAGTTTTAATGTTAGGTAACTGTTATTGAGAGTTAATGTTGAATAACGGTTAAAAACTTATTATGTGACCATTGAAATAATTATATTTAGTAAGACTTGTTCTCGAGTAATTCAGCTAGAATAGCATCAAGAATGACCTTTTCAAACTGAGATGGAAAATATGCTAACAAATCTGAAAATGCTTGAGACTTAATAGCTTTTGGCTGAACCACTAATATATCAAACTCTTCCAATAGAAGAAGCCATTTTGCTATTTTTCCAGATAGAGCTGGCTTAGAAAGTAAGAACTTGATGGGATCTGACTTTGTCACAATTATGAGCTTGTGTACCAAGAAGTAGTGCCGAAGCTTTTGAGTTGCATACATTAAAGTAGGACAGTACGTTTCCATAGGTGGATAATTCAACTCACTTCCGTGTAAGCATCTACTAAGGTACTACATAGGTTTTTCTTCTCCATCCATTTCGTGTACAAGTAAGGCACCAATTGAATATGGAGTAGAAGTCAAATACAACATCATTGGCTCTCCTTTGATAAGCATGATCATCGTTGCAGGAGAAGTAAGAATCTTCTTAATCTTCTCAAATGCTTATTGTTATGATTCACCCCATATGAGTGGAACATCTTTCTTAAGCAAAACTTGGAAAGGTACAATGATTTCTCCTAAAGCTGGAATGAATCTCCTATATAAGAGACTTTTTTCAATAGGCTTTTGAGTTGTTTTTGATTCACCAAAGATGGCATGGATTGAATAGCCTTTATTTTTGTAGTATCAACATTTATACCTTTTCTGTGAACCACAAAACCCAAAAATTTCTTAGCTGTTACTCCAAATGCACACTTTAAAGGATTCATATGAAGAATATACTTTCTGCACTGTTCAAATACTCTCATCAAGTCTTCAAAGTGATTAAAAGCCTTCTTGGATTTCACCACAATATCACCACATAATCTTCCATATAGTCATGCATCATGTCATGGAAGATAGCTGTCATGGCACGTTGATAGGTTGCACCTGCATTCTTCAATCCAAATGGCATTATAGTGCAGTAAAAATTACCGAATGGAGTTTTAAAAGCTGTTTTCTCTGCATATTCTGGTGCCATCTTTATTTGATTATATCCACTAAACACATCCATAAAGCAAAACATCTCATGACCAACTATAGCATCCACTACAATATCAATGTTAGGAAGAGAAAAATCATCTTTTGGGCATGCCTTGTTCAAACCTCTGAAATCTACACAGACCCGAATTATTTCATTCTTCTTTTTCACAAGAACTACATTTGCTAGCCAAGTAGGATAATGTATGGGTTTGATGAATCCAACCTTGAGGAGCTTGTTAATCTCATCATTTTTCTGGCTCTCTATTTCATGATGAAATACACGAGCATGTTATTTCACTGGTTTACTTTGTGGAGAAATGTGTAACTCATGAGTAATGCGATTTTCATGTAATCCAGGCATCTGCTCATAAGTCCAAGCAAACATATATTGAAATTTTCTCAACAGCTCAATTAGCTCAATCCTTTCACTTTTTTTTGCCATATTTATTTCTTCCAACTCATCACCTTGAGGTTTCGGTCGATCTGAGAGTTGTTCTTTTGTGGGTAATACTTCTTGTACGTTTTCCTTTTTTGCTTCCACTTGAAAACATGATGGTGATGCATCCGGTGGCATCCAAGGTTTAGGATCAGGAGAAGATGTTTTCATCACAGCAATACACGATTTTTCCATCTTCCCGTGCATAAGAAGTTACCTCATTTGACATATTCACTTCATTTACTTCTTTACATGTGGAAGTGCTTTCCCTTCTTCTCTTCCCACCTCGCTTCTTTTTCTTGCCGTTCTTCTTTACCTTATTCCTAACATACTCTTCTTATTGTGGAAGTGAAACACCGATAAGTCTAGCAATAGCTATTTCTCCATCTTCTGCTAGATCTTCAAAGAAAGAAGCCTCTGTATAACTCACCTCATGTTGTTCAAATGGAGCCTTAGTGGCTAGAATGAAAATCTCCTTCCCCTTCCAATGTCCTTTAATACATTGATGGTATGTGGAAGGAATGATATTGTGCATGTGCAGGAATTATCTTCCAATCAGAGCATGATAAGCCACATTTGCATCAATAACATGAAACTATATCTGATCTTAACTTAGACCCATATTGAAGTTCACTGTCACTTGCCCCAAAGTCATAATCTCTTTATTATCAAAGGAAGTGATAGCCATAGGACGGCATAAACCCTTCAAATCTATGTTTATAGCTCTCAAAGTAGATAGAGGTATGAGATTCACAGAGGAGCCATCGTCAATGAATGTTCTCCTAATAAGATACCCATTGATAGTACTTTCCACATATAAGGGTTTATTATGATGAGGATGAGGTGTACACATGTCTACCTCTATAAACACAATAGCATTCTGATATGCATCAAGCATCTTCCCTATAGGTCGTCCTACTAGGTTACACACCCCATACTGTTCTTCAACTATTTGAACTATTGATATAGCTGCTTCTTTCCTTACTTCTTCTGAAAACCCAAGCTGATTAAAAAAAATGCCTGAAACTAGGTGTCTTCATAAGTGCATTAGCAATCGAAGAAGTAACCATAGTATCTTCACTTGTATCATTGAGCTGAGTGTTTGAAAAAGAAGGATCATCATGGTGATCATGAATTATTGCATTTACTTGACCTCGGGGATTTGGATGAATAGGAAGAAGGTTATTCTGGACTCTGTTATTTCCAATCAATACCTCTCCTGCTTGCACTCGTTGATGGAACATTCTCCAAAGATTTCTGCATTTAGAAAGCGGATGACCAACTGCTCGATGATAATCACAATATCTTGGGTTAGCCTTCTCCTCCGCTGTTGGTGGTCGTGGAGTGTAAGGTAAGTTTATCTGTCCATCCCTAGCCCATTCTTGAAGAAGAGCTTTCACTCTATTTAGAGGTACTGAGAATGGTGGAGAAGAGTCATTCTCCTCATCTGGCCTTCTTCTTGGGACATCTCTTCTGGGGCGTAAATTTGACCAGATTGGACCCCTTCTTTCTCTACCTCCTCCTTGGATGGCATTCACTATTAGAGTATTCCTTCGACCAAAGCGAGTGAGTTCTCTTTGTCTAAGAACTGTATTATTGGTCCTTCGTGCAACTTCCACTAATGTAGCAAAGGTTGGAAGATGTAAATTCTCTAAGTGTAGCCTGTGAATGCACACTTTCACCAACTCTTTCTCATCATGAGACTCTTGAATGTCCAGCACCCTCTCTCTAAAATATTGGATATACTCCATTAAATCCTCTCTAGACTTTTGAAACTCTCTTCTAAGATCAATGAGATTAACATTCTCTTGAGTAAAGAAGAACTTTTCTCCAAATATCTTACACATCTGATTCCAAGATTGAACAGAACCAAATGTGAGGTTAACATACCATGTATAAGCCTTCTCAATGAGAGACTTGGAGAACTCCTTCAACTTCACGTCATCATCCAATCCAGCAACTCCAAGAGTCTCCATAAATTTCATGACATGTTCGCGTGCATCTCCAGTCTTTCCATTGAATTGTTTGAACTTGGGGCTAGTATAGTCTTTAAGGTATGGCTTTGCGGCTACACTGGCCGGGTAAGGTAATT